TGAGTACTAGTTATAGCATTAAATCACAATGTACAGCACATTAAGGACAGAGATCCTACGTGAGGAGTTAGTGCACAGTGACTCCTGTTGTTGACTTAACAAATTGACACTCTTGTTTATGGTGTCAGTAATCACCCTAGGCTCTTGTCATGAGTTGCCAAGACTATGGAAGCCTTTTGAGTTCGCTGACTCTGATCTTATTTAGACAAGGTCATAGTCAAAGTGGAAGTTCTCTCCTCCCTTCAGAGAAAGGTACCTCCTTCTTTGATGACCTGTTCTTGATGGAAGACTTTTGATTATTGCTTGAGTCTTATTGTTTATTAGCATATAGTTCTTCACAGTTTTTTATAATCCTTTGTATTTCAGTGGTGTTGGTCATAATGTCTCCTTTTTCATCTCTGATTTTATTTGAGAATTTTTTTTCTCTGTTAGTCTGGCTAGAGGTTTATGTGTTTTGTTTGTCTTCTCAAGAAACCAATTTTTGGGTTAATGCTGTGAGACAGCAGTTTAAGCCTCAGCCCACAGTGCCAGCACCCCATATGGGTGCTGGTTTGAGTCCCAGCTGCTCAACTTCTGATCGAGCTCCCTGCTCATGCACTGGGAAAGCAGCAGAAGATGGCCCAAATCCCTGGGCCCATGCACCCACATGGATGACTTGGGTGAAGCTCCTGGCTTCGGCTTGGCACAGCCTTGGCTGTTGCAGCCATTTGGGGAGTGAACCAGTGAATGGAAGGTCTCTCCCCTTTTTTCTTTCCTTCTCTCTCTCTCTAACTGTACCTTTCATTTATTTTTATTATTTTATTTTTTTTGACAGGCAGAGTTAGTGAGAGAGAGAGAGACAGAGAGAAAGGTCTTCCTTTTCCGTTAGTTCACCCCCAAATGGCCACTATAGCCAGCGTGCTGTGCTGATCTGAAGCCAGGAGTCAGGTTCTTCCTCCTGGTCTCCCATGCGGGTGCAGGGCCCAAGTACTTGGGCCATCCTCCACTGCCTTCCCGGACCACAGCAGAGAGCTGGACTGGAAGAGGAGCAACCAGGACAGAATCCGGTGCCCTGACTGGGACTATAACCTGGGGTGCTGGTGCCGCAGGTGGAGGATTAGCCAAGTGAGCCACAGCGCCGGCCTAACTTTACCTTTCAAATAAATGAGTAAGTTTTTTTTTAAAAGAAGATGCCAACACCAAAGCTCCACACATGCTCTCTATTCTCCCCTATAGTGTTCCAGAAGAGATGAGGTGGGAAAAGGAAGAGCTTCTATTTGACCTTATTGGTCCTTTCCAAAATATACATCTGATGCTAACCTCCTGCATAAAAGTCTTTAATACATCTTTACTCATCAAAGTGAGGTTTTTAGCTAAGGTGCTATTGTCTACAGGGATACCAGAAAGCTCCACAGGAATATACATCAATTGACAAAGCCCATTGTCCAGATCCACTGACCTATTGTGGGTTTTTGTTTGTTTTTACCACAGCAGATTCACTTAAGCATGTGAGTTCCTTATCTTGCCATCTGTGCATAACAAACAACCATGAGACTGGTGCTTCCTACTGCATTAGTCTAGAACTGGGGTCAAAGCATTTGTTGCTGTTTCTGTATAACTTCAGGAAAGAAATAGTTTGGAACTTGAGGGGCCTATGGTCTTTGTGTGTGTGTGTGTGTGTGTGTGTGTGTGTGTGTGTTTTGACAGGCAGAATGGACAGAGAGAGAGAGAGAGAGAGAGAGAAAGGTCTTCCTTTGCCGTTGGTTCACCCTCCAATGGCCGCTGCGGCCGGTGCGCTGCGGCCGGCGCACTGCGCCGATCCCAAGGCAGGAGCCAGGTACTTATCCTGGTCTCCCATGGGGTGCAGGGCCCAAGCACTTGGGCTATCCTCCACTGCACTTCCTGGCCACAGCAGAGAGCTGGCCTGGAAGAGGGGCAACTGGGACAGAATCCGGCGCCCCGACCGGGACTAGAACCCGGTGTACCAGCGCCGCAAGGCAGAGGATTAGCCTAGTGAGCCGCAGTGCCGGCCGGCCTATGGTCTTTGTTACAACCATTCAATTCTGTCTCTGCAGGAAAAAAGCACACATGGAGAATACTGACATGAATGATTATGGCCATGTTCCCTTAACCCAACTGGGAGTGAGTAGGTTTCATTTCTAAACCAGACCAACCAGAGTTCAAATCATTTCAATCACGGAGATACAAGGAATGACATACTATATCAATATCTGCCTCCAGTTTTCATCAGGTACTTACTCAGACCCCCAGATTTATACCCATTTGATGGGTACTTAAATGCTTCATATACTTTATTTTCTGTGCCTCCTTATACAAGCGTATCAGCACTGGTCTCTCTTCGGGCACACTTATGGTTCCTCTCCTATAATACTTTAATTAATTCTCTATGACATAGATCAAATATACCCACATCTGCTACTTTCTTATGTTCCTAGACTCAAAACTTCTAGGTTCAAAATTCCCCGATTCAAAATGACTTTTTCACTTTAGAATTCTACAGTGTCTTCTACATAACTTTTTAATACACTATGGAGCTGTATATCCACTGGATCAAAACCTCATCAAGACACAACTTTACCTTCTTTGTTATAGTATCTAGGACATCTTGAAAAGTGGTTTAGACTCAACTGGTACTCAATAAATATTTGTTTTACCTGTTGATAAATAAAAGTGGTAGATACTCTTGCAATAGGATTCAATGGCTCCAGCCATTGCAGCCAACTGGGGAGTGAACCAGCAGATGGAAGACCTCTCTCTGCCTCTCCTTCTCTGTCTCTGTGTAACTCTGACTTTCAAATAAATGAATAAATCTTTTTAAAAAAACATGAAATTAGAAGCTTTTAGATCTGCCTTTCAATTGGGAAGCACTGTCATTTAATATTTCCAACAAACCTAAGAAGGGAGAAGTGTAATCACTCCCGTATCCTAGGTAACTGAAGTGATATAATTTACCAGGAGTCATTCCCATTTTGAGTCTGAAGCCAAGGTTTGGATGTAGATGGATCAGTCCATGTGTTATGGCCTAAACTGGCTTTCCTCTCAGAGTAATGCCTCAACCCACAGCATCAGCAGCAACAGAGAACACATAAAAATACCATTTCTTGAACCTTATAGTAGAATCAGAAATTCTGGGTGAGGGCTTAATGATCTGTTTACCAAAGTCTCCAGTTTATTTTGGTACATGTTAAATTTTTAGAATGACTGTTCCAAACCAGTATGCTTTCAGGTAAAATAGTATTTCTATGTTAAGCTGCCTATTCAAGATCCTGGTCCAAAAAGGATGGCAGGGAAAAACAGAAATCCAGAATGTATTCCTCCTAAAGTGGACACTGGAGAAAATAACGCAGACTGAAGATTTTGGGGTACTTGTTATTACAACATCTCATTTCCCATTACATACTGTGTGGGAGACAGATCCCAGGTATTTCACGTGCACTATCTCAACACCTCATGCAAACAGTCATATAGTTCCCTAGATCTGCCCCTTCCCCAGTCACAACAGGAAGAACCATGTCTTCCTAGTCTTGTAAGTGCCTGGCACAACCAAGAGTGTCACCAAAAGGCGCAATACACGCTATTTGCTAAAGGCGAGAGGAAGGCCAATAGAAGTTACCTGCTTTCATGGGCCTTTCAGGAAACAAAAAGCCTGGGCTTTATTACACCCCCCTTCAGGTGACTATAAACTTCTTTACCTCCACCACGTCTGCTTCTTTACCTCCACCACGTCTGCCAGTGTGGGCAGGCAGCGATGAGGTCAGGACCGCTCAGCAGCCAGGAATTCCGGAAGTGAGCCGGGGCCGGCCTCAGACTGCCCCATCGGAGGGCTGGCTGATCATCGCCCTCCCCTCATAGCTGTTGGCTCTTCCCGACGAGGCCCCTCTGGAGTGGGCTCTGCACTTTCAGTTTCCCTCTCGGCCACACTACAGGGCGGGCTTCCCCGGCGTCTTCGCACAGCTGGGCATCGGCTGTTTCTGTGAAGTGCCGGTCAGACGAAGATGGCCGCCGAGCCGCTGGAGAAGCTGTGGGCCATTGCCCCCACGCGGCTCTGCCCAGGCCACAGGCGCCTCGTGCCCCCGACGACGTGGCGAGGGCGCGGGACTCCGGGTCTGCCTGCCCACCACTTCCATGTCACGAGGCTTCCAGGGAGTGCCGCTGCCAAAGCCCGTAGGGGTCTCAGGACACCAGCTCTCTTCTGAGGGCGTTTCCCTCGCTGCGCCCTGGCCGTCCTCCGTCGCTCGTCGCTGACAGGCGTCCTCAAAGCTGCAGGAGCCATCTTGCACTGGACTTGAGCCCCGCCGCTGGGGCAGATGCTCTCCGGCTTCCGCCAAGGGAGGCGCCCTTGCACCGCCGGGCCCAGTCTCCTCCTCCCCTCGTGAGGAGGGCGTGCGAGTCCCTGTTTGTGTGGTCCTCTGAGCGGACTCCATGGCCGCCTCGGGGCAACAGCCAGGACCCCGCGGGCAGCCGCTCAAGCACGGGGGCGCTCAAGCACGAGGCGCAAGGCCCCTGGGTCCGCGTCCACGACTGCATTTGTTGGCCGCAGTGCGCGGCCCGAAGGCGCAGGGCGCGGGCAACGCTCAAGCACGGGGGCGCTCAAGCACTGGGCGCAAGGCCCGGCCTTGACTGGGTCCGCGTCCACGCCTGCATCTGTTGGCCGCAGTGCGCGGCCCGAAGGAGCAGGGCCCACGCTGACCCTGGCCCCGACCACCCTTCGCTGTCTGCCCTGGCAGCTCAGGCGGCAACGGTGTCCGTGGTCTTTTCCGCTCTGGCTCAAGGGGCAAAGACGTTTCTCCGGGCGCTTCCACGTCTCCCTCAGCGACGCCAGACAACGCCGCCCTCTGGAGCTTGGCAGCCTGGGGACAGCGAGGACGTTCTGTGGCGGCCGAGGCGGGCGGTGGGCGCTCGGCCTCCCACACGGGCCCAGCGCAGGCGCAGTGAGCGGGCGCCGCCATTTCCCTGACCAGCCGCTCCTCGCGGCCTTCCCTCCGTGCTCCTGGTAAGACGTGCTTCGTTTCTGTCTCTGCGAATAAGAGGGCATCTCACGGGAGACTCAGGTGTCCCTGCTCTTAGGACTGCTAGCGGGGGGCGTTGGTTTCTCGTCTGTTTTGTTCTTTGGCTGAGAGCTCTGCGTTGGCGCCGTGTTAGTGTAACTTTCTACAGGGTCGTTCCTTTCTGCCTCGGTATTTCTGCGAACTCAGGGTACCTTCCAGCACAGTGATGAATATTATATTATGTTCAGATCTTGTGTTTGCATTGTGTTGTTTTCAGATTCTTGTTCATCTGATAGGCTGTGGTACCTTCTGTGGCACAATAAAAAAGAATTATTGCTCAAATAATTTTTTCTTCTAATGTGACAGGGTTTCTTTCCATGATAAAGAAACTCTATTTATTGTGCCGGAATTTAATTGTTTTATATTTTATACTGCAGTATTTTCTTCCTCTGAATTTTATTTACATATATATTGCGAGAATGGGTTGTCTTTCATTTTCCTCCAGTTGAAAAGCTGGTTCCAATCCCATTTGTTAAATTATTCACAATTTTCCACTGAGTTAGAATTCCTCTTTTGTCAAACATTAATTGATAAAATATACTTCATCTGTTTCTACACTTGGTTTTATAACTCTTCATTAAGAACTAATGTATGCTGCTAAGAAGGTTAATTTTCATCTCTCTCAGAATGTATATTTCTGTCAGTGTTTCGCTTTATTTTGGTATAGTCAAAAACATGACATTGAACTTGCCATCTTAACCATTTTTAAGTGTACAGCTCAGTAGTGTTGTGTTATTTTGTGCACCAACTCTTTAGACCTTTTTCATCTCGCACTAATATTGCAATATCATATGCAAGTGTACAGCCAGTAGACAGTAACTCCCTCTCATCCTTCCAGCCCTTGGTCCTCACATTTCTACTTCGTGTTTGTTAAGAGGTTGACCACTTTAGATACTCGATACAGATAGCGTAGTACAATTTTCTGTTTCTCCTTGGGTGATTAGCATAATGCATTTAAGCCCCATTCATGTTGCAGCCTGTGACAAAATGCCCTTTTTTATGGCTGTGTAATGTTGTATTATATATATATCACATTTTCTTATGCTGTTCATCTGACATTGGGCATCTGAGTTGCATCTACCTGTTGGCTCCGTGATTCATGCTGTGATAAGTATGGATGTACAAATATCTTTGTGATCCCCGTTTTAATTAGTTTTCACTGAATACCAGAAGGTGTTATAGTTAGGTCATGTGATCATTTTATTTTGAATTTCTTGAGGGACTTCTGTTTTCCATAGTTGCTGAACCATTCTACATTCCCAGCAATAGCCTGCAACTGTTCCAACTTCGCGGCATTCTCTGCAGTACTTACTGCGTTTTGTTCTGTTGCTGTGGGCCATCCTGATGAGTGTGAGGTGATATCCCCTGTGGTTCCCCACAGAACTGCTGATGCTGAGAATCTTTGTGTGTGCTTATTAGCCATTTGGAGAAATGCTGAGGTTCTTTGCCTTCTATTCCTGGCATGTTTAAAAGGATATTGCCAGTGGCTTATAATGTTAGGTTGAAAGATTTTCCTTCATCAATTTAAATATGTTGCTCTTTTGTTCACTGGATACGAACCTTTGGAGAGTAGCCTTTTTTTTGGTATACAGTGTTCATTTTCCTTTGCTTGAAATTAAGATTTTCTCTTTATTTCTGATTTTTACTCATAGACATTTGTGTTTTGCAGATTCTTGTTTGATATTGCTGAGTTTTTTTTTTCATTCTGCCTCTAGGTTGTTGTCGTTTCCACCAAATTTACTATATTTTGAACCATTGTTTCTTTAAAATATAGAGGTTGTATAAGTTTGTATAAGTTGTCCATCATTTTTCTTCCTTTCCTAATTACTCTGAAGATTCTAGGTCCTTGGCTCTTACATATTAAATTTAGGATTATTTATTAATTTTTCAAATGCCTTTTGGGGGCATCCATTGGATAAAATGAATCCAGTGATCTATTTCGGCAAAATATATGTTAATAATTTAGGTCTACTAGTCCTTATTTCTCTGTTATTCAAAAGCCTTTAGTTTTTCCAGGAATATATTATCATTTTTCATTAATTTACTCCTGAATATTTTTTACTTTATGGCATTTTTTGAAAAAATTTATTTTGTTTATTTGAGTGTTACAGAGAGAGGCAGAGACAGAAAGAGAGGTCTTCCATCTGCTGGTTCACTCCCCAGATGGCTGCGTCAGCTTGAGCTGAGCCGATCCAAAGTTAGGAGCCAGGAGCTTCTTCCAGGTCTCTCACATGGGTGCAGGGGCCCAAAGACTAGGGCCATCTTCCACTGCTTTCCCGGGCCACAGTAGAGAGCTAGATCAGAAGAGGAGCAGCGGGACTAGAACCAGCCCCTATATGGGAGCGCCACCTTGGCATTTTTAATAATATTAATTTTAAATTCATTTTCATTATTAAAAGATTTATTTATTTATTTGAAATGCAGAGTTATGGAGAGGCAGAGTCAGAAAGAGAAAGAGAGGTCTTCCATCTGTTGGGTCACTCCCCAGTGGCCTCAGATGGCCTCGATGGCTGGAGCTGGGCTGATCAGAAGCCAAGAGCATGGAGTTTCTTCCACATCTCTCGTGGGAGTACAGGGGCCCAAGGACTTGGGCCATCTTCTACTGGTTTCCGTGACCCTAGCAGAGAGCTGGATCAGAAGTGCAGCAGCCAGGACTCGAACCACTGTTTGTGTGGGATGTTGGCACTGCAGGTGGCATCTTTACCTGCTGAGCCACAGTGCCAGCACCTTTATTTCCAGTTTTTAAACTATAGATAAAAATACAATTGATTTTGGTGTACATCATCATGTGTAACCTTGGTATGTTCATTTGTTGATTTTTATACGTTGATATATAATTTCTTAAATTCTTTTTATCTACACAATTATGTAATGGCTTATAAAGACCTTTTTCTTTCTTTACTTTCTTGTCTCTTATTTGTCTCACTGCACTAACTAAATTACCTGATAGAATGGACAAGTTTACAAAGTGGAGCACATACGTGATTGCCTCATTCTCAGACTCACAGGGAGCATGTTCACTATCTCGTCATCAAGTGTGGTGACTATCAGGAAGCTTTACATCGACATCTCTAGAATGAGGACGCTTCTTTCTGTTCCCAGTTTGCTGCAGTATTTTGTCATTCACGGATGTCATATTTTGTCAAATGTTTTCATCCATCTGTTAAGACACTCATATCATTTTCTTGTTAATCTGTTATGGTCATTCTGCTGATAGACCTTTTCAGTTTTTGAAAACCATGCATAGTCTTTGCATAATACATATTTTCAGCAAGATTTTTGTAGCTTTCACACAGATCAAACAATGCCTTTATTTTCCACTTACTTGTTAAGAACACTGTGACTGGATACAGACTCTAGGCTGAGAGGTTTTTGTTCTTTCAGCACTTTAAATGTTATTGCACTGACTTCTTGATGCAATGCTTTGATTAGAACTTGGCCTCAGTTTTACAGGGCTCCTCACTATGGCACATGCCTCTTTTTTCCCTCTGGGCACTTTTAAGGTTTTGCTAAGTTGTTTTTCAGCAATTTTAGTATGGCATTTCCCCTGTGTAACATTATTCAGTGTCTTTGAGCTTTCCAGACCTGCAGCTTGAGAGTTTCCATTCTATTTGGAAAGGGGTTAACCTTTATTTCTTCAAATGTCTTTTCTGTCACATCCTCTGTATTCCCTTCTTTCTGGGATTTTAATTATAAATGTGTTCTTGCTATTTTTAGTTGTTCTGTAAAGTAATATTCCTCAAGTATGAATTATTATTAAATATGAATTGTTGACATTTTCCATAAAGTACCCCATATTTTATTGAAAAAATTCTACAAAATAATAGATTTAATATGTGAAGTTACTAATTGGGCTTTTTGTATCATAATGTTTAAATGTTTCAGCATGACCTTAAAATTTTTTACAACAAAGTAAATTTATCTTTTAATTCTGTTTTACATAAAGTGTATTTGTCTACTCGTACAGGTGCACGATAATTTGCCAAACTATTTGGAGCTGGATATTATTGAAATTCTTAGCTTTTCAGATTTCAGAAAGGTAGTTTGTTACATATACTAAATATTGTGTGCTTCCTACAACCTTACCATATCTCAGGGGTTGTGCACTAATGGAATACCCTTTCAAAAATCCAGGTCAGGAATTTTCACTAACATAATTCACGTTCAGCCAGGTTTTACTTTCAAATGATAGAAATAAGATGTAAAAAGCACTGCATTGGAATTTGAATCTTTGATCTACTTATGATTAGTTGTGCTGAGAAGAGTCACTCAGCTGTTCTGGTGCCTTGTATTTGCTGATGGGATGTAGCTAATAATGTCTACCTAACAGGGTTATAGTGAGTATAAAATAGGAAAAATGCAAATAAAATAGGTAACAGACTGGCTGGCATGGAGATGAAACCTCAGTAGATACTAGTTGAAGCTGAATGGTGGTTTTCTCTTAAAGATTATATTTTTTATTCTCACAGTATTCCACATGAAGGAATGATAGGTTTTGGCTTAGACTACAGATGGAAATAAGGGACAGTTAATGATTTGCCATTCAGGTCAGGAAATGAATTCAGATCATCTGACTTCTGTGTTGAATGTAAATTTTGGGGTGAGTAATTCAGAGATGGCAGTATTTTGCATTGGAAGCTAGGTCTTTAAGTGATCTTTGCAAAGTAGGCACATTGACACTGCTTTTCTTGGAGTTACTAAGGGGATTATAAGAAGCAGTCAAGTACAAATGACCCTACGTGATTGGAATTCAGTGAATAGTGGATATAATGAGTTTTGGGATAGAAGCTGTAATCAGTGGAGAGCTATCTGTGATTTGTGGTGACTCAGTATTTCTGGAGCACCCTTTAAGTCCACACACCCCCATGATGCTGTTGCCCCATGTACGATGCAGGACAGTTTGGGTCAATTATTTTGTCCAGCAACACAAAGAGGGATGGATATATTCAGGAGTCCTTTTTTAAAGTCTCAGATACCAGTTCTCTGGAATCACCTGGGAGATTTTCATTTTGTTTATGCCTAAAAATGATACCTTGTTTTTTCCATGCCTCCCAGATAATTTGGAGATCATTTTTGTAAGAGAACAGACACTCAAAGTTCTGAAGGCTTGTCCTGGCTCAATTTCTGCTCCTACTGCAATTCATGTCTGGCACAGGAGACAGCAAGATGATGTCATTACTTGCACTTCTGATGCAACCCCTCTTGCTTGAGGATCTTGAAATCCTTGCATGGATCCCTCACCCACTTCCCACTTCTAATTACAGAACAATGACATCTATACAGAAACTTTGCTATTCCTAATATGTCTACTGTGTTTACATATTTTTTAAATTATGTACTGAAGATATGTCAAGGGTGAATATTTCTTTAGCAACGAACACAACAGACAAAGCTCTTTCTGCTGATTCTATTTTTGTGGATTATGAATACACCTCAATAATGCCTTTTGTAAAACATTCACAGCTGTTCCAGTGCCCATTCCTAAGCAAACTGACTGAGACTCCTAAATCGAAATGACATAGAATCTTAAGCATGAGTAGATTGCTACAAGGAAATAAGATTAAGAGATACCTAGAAGTTTGCCACTTCCAATGCCAAGGAGTGAACATATGCAAAACTTTAGGCCACAATGAGGGTCTTTATGATTTTGTGTATTAGAATAGACCTTATTTTCAATTTATCATTACCTCTGAGTACTGGAGTAATCTGAGGATTTTCTGTACTATTTGCTTGCTAATTATATTGTCAGTGCCAGCGTTGTGGCACAGTGGGTTAAAGCCCTACCTGTAGTGCTGGCATCCCGTATGGCATCGGTTCAAGTCCTGGCTGCTTCACTTCTGATCCAGCTCCCTGCTAATGTACCTGAGAAAGCAGCTGAGGATGCCCCAAGTCCTTGGGTCCCTGCATCCACATGGGAGACTTGGAAGAAGCTCCTGGCTCCTGGCTTCGAGTGGGCTTATCTCCATCCTTTGTGGCCATTTGGGGAGTGAATCAGTAAATAGAAGACTTCTCTCTCTCTCTGTTTCCACTTCTCTGTCTTTCAAATAAATGAAAGTAAATCTTTAAAAAAGTACTGGTGCTGTGGTGCAGTGAATTAAAGCCCTGGTCTGCAGTGCCAGCATACCATATGGGTGCTGGTTCTAGTCCCAGCTGCTCCTCTTCTGATCCGGCTCTCTGCTATGGCCTGGGAAAGCAGTTGAAGATGGACCAAGTCCTTGGGACCCTGCCCTCATGATGGAATCCCAGAAGAAGTTCCTGGCTCCTGGCTCTTGGCTTCGGATCAGCGCAGTTCCAGCCATTGCGGCTATCTGGAGAGTGAACCAGAGGATGGAAGACCGACCTCTCTGTCTCTACCTCTGTATGTAACTCTGTTTTTCAAATGAATAAAATAAATCTTTAAAAAATTGAAATAAAAATACAAAACTACCTTATGTTATCTAGTTGTCAAAGTTTAAAAAGTTATGTATGCAGTGCTATTAGCAACTTAAGTATCTTCTTATGGGGAATTGATTTTAAAATGATGGAAAATCAATATAAGGCAATTCTATGCAAAATTAAAAGGACAAAGTAGGTTTTCTTATATTGTCATGGAAAGATCTTTAAGACTTATTTTAAGGGACAAGAAATTGTTAACATTTTGTACAAACCGGTCCCTGTTTACAAAAGAGCAACAAGAGGTAAGTATTGGTATAGAGGTTAAGACATCACTTGGGATGGCTGTATCCCAGCTTAGAGTGCCTGGGTTTGAGTCCTGCCTTCGATCCCAGTTCTGTGTTCTTGCTACAGCAGACCTTGGGAGGCAGCATATAGGGGCTCAAGTTTTTGAGTCCTTGTCATCCAAATGGATTCAAATCTTGGATTCTGGCTTTGACCTGGCCCACCCAGGTCACTTAAGGGATAAACCAGTGGATGGAAAATGTATGTGTGTGTGTGTGTGTGTGTGTGTGTGTGTTTCTTCCTGCCTTTAAAATAAAATCACAACAAAACTTATGTATATGTATATGTAAATATTTTCTGCTTTTTCCTAGAATTTTAACTGGACAACCAGTGAAAGGATCAAGTTTACTTTGCATCTCTTTGAACATTTCCTCTGAGGACTCAAAGACATTCCCATCTGTCTATCAGAACTTACCAGGTTAAGTTCCTCTCTGGTACTGTCATGCTTTTATTATTATTATTATTATCATTATTAATTTAATGAACACATTGGTATGCGCTGAGTATTCTGTTCCTGATTGTTCCTTACTATTAATGTTTGAAATGTTACCTTTAGAGATTTGAGACCTTTGTGTCTGGAAGGTTCTATTCATTAGGACATATAACATCTGATTAAGAAACAGGTAAGATCATTGAGCTTTGTCTGAGAATGTATTACTGTGTGTCAGTTGATATTAGTTCAGTATTAATCCCAGTGACCCCTAAATGATGTGGAAGAGGGGAGGTGGACATGCAGGGAGATGGTAAAATTGATCGACGAGGAAATAAAACCAATCATCTGAGCACCTTTGCAGAGTCGGTTGGTTTCATCATCTGGCAAGCATTTGGATGCACCTTTATTTTTTTTTTTAATCTATTACCACTCATGTAGCCCATCCCCATTGTGTCCTTACTTCCCTTCTTGTCAAATTAGCAATGTTATAGTCATTGCTTTGCATAAATCCTCAACTCCTGTTACTTCTGCCCACTCCTCGCCTGGACAATGGCAGTGAGATACATCTCTGGTCTTCTTTTCCCTATACCTGAGCAGCTGAATGTGGCTCAGGAAAAGCTCACAAATCATGAGGATTGTCCAATGTCCACTAAAGACTGCCAATCTCAGTAGGCCCTCTGCTCTGGCCTCATTGCCATGATCATTTCCTCATTTCCTTGTTCAGATAACTCTTCTTCTCTTATCCAGAGAAGACCATTTCCCATCACTGTCCTTTTCTGAAACTAGTACCTGGGGCCAGTATTGTGGTACTGTGGGTTAAGCCACTGTTTGCAATGCCAGATGCTTCAAGGAGTTCTGGTTCAAGTCCTTGATGCTCAGCTTCCAATCCAGCTCCCTGTTAATGCATCTATGAAAGCAACAGAAGATGGCCCCAGTACTTGGGCGCCTGCCACTCACATTGGAAACCCAGATGAAGTTTGGGGTTCCTGCCTTTGGCCTGGACCAGCCCCAGCTTTTGTGGCCTTTTGGGGGAGTGAACCAGAGGGTGAAAGACCTTTCCCTTTACCTCTTTCTCCCTGTAACTCTCCTGTTCAATTAAAAAAATTTTGAAAAAAAAAATTAGTGTATCATCACTGATGTTTCCTCTCAATGAATGACTTTTGAGTCTGATTGAGACAAAACAAGTGGTCTTAAGAGAACATCCTTGACTTCCCCACCAAAGAAATCTACCATTCTTCTTTCCTTTTAACCCATGTACCACAGATTTTCTTTAGTTACAAAGTATGACAGTTTATGCTCATTTCTTCTCAGTACCCTAGAATCTTGTACTGCAGCCTTCTCTCTCATGTACCTTGGATTTCTCTTCTTTATTCTTTGGATTACGAATGTTATCACCTATATATGCTTCATTTCTTCTCACCTGTAAACAAATATACAACTGCAACTCCCAAGCCTCTGCAGATCACCAACAATCACTTTATGTCTCTGTTATCCTTTATAGAAAAATATCTTAAAAGCCTCTCTACTTCTTTACTTCTGATATCCTATACTAAAATTAATACCATCCTATATAAGTGCGTACGTTTTTAAATATGTGCAAAATGGTTTCTGTTCCATGTTTTTCTTTGATGTTCAAATTCTCTCCTTTGCCTCTTAGGGATGATAGATTCTACACGTTGAACAAAAGTTGAGCTGTAAATAGTTTCCAAGAGGAGGATTAAAGGGTATAGGAGGCCTTTATTTCTTTTATGTAGCATTATTCTCTATGCACTTCAACTTTCTTATTGAATATATATAATGTTAAAATATATGGACAATGGTAATCCTTATGGCTCTGATTTGTGTATGTGTGTCTTTTTTTTTTTTTTTTTTTTTTGACAGGCAGAATGGACAGTGAGAGAGAGAGACAGAGAGAAAGGTCTTCCTTCTGCTGTTTGTTCACCTTCCAATGGTCGCCACGGCCGGTGCACTGCGGCTGGCGCATCGTGCTGATCCGAAGCCAGGAGCCAGGTGCTTCTCCTGGTCTCCCATGCGAGTGCAGGGCCCAAGCACTTGGGCCATCCTCCACTGCACTCCAGGGCCATAGCAGAGAGCTGGCCTGGAAGAGGGGCAACCGGGACAGAATCTAGCACCCCGACTGGGACTAGAACCTGGTGTGCTGGCGCCGCAAGGCGGAGGATTAGCCTATTGAGCCACGGCACCAGCCTGTGTGTGTTATTTTTTATTTATTTTTTTCTGAAACAACTTTTTATTAAAACAGCAAAGCAGAATTACAACACAATTTATTTATTTTTTTAACTTTTATTTAATGAATATAAATTTCCAAAGTACAGCTTATGGATTACAATGGCTTTCCCCCCCATAACTTCCCTCCCACCTGCAACCCTCCCCTTTCCCGCTCCCTCTCCCCTTCCATTCACATCAAGATTCATTTTCAATTCTCTTTATATACAGAAGATCAGTTTAGTATATATTAAGTAAAGATTTCAACAGTTTGCACCCACAGAGAAACACAAAGTGAAAAATACTGTTTGAGTACTAGTTATAACATTAAATCACAATGTACAGCACATTAAGGACAGAGATCCTACATGAGGAGTAAGAGCACAGTGACTCCTGTTGTTGACTTAACAAATTGACACTCTTCTTTATGGCGTCAGTAATCACCCTAGGCTCTTGCCATGAGTTGCCAAGGCTATGGAAGCCTTTTGAGTTCACCGACTTTGATCATATTTAGGCAAGGTCGTAGTCAGAGTGGAAGTTCTCTCCTCCCTTCAGAGAAAGACAACACAATTTAAATATCTGTCAATTAGGTCACAAAAGGGATGCAAAATGTTTGCAGTGTAACTACTATATATACATACATCAAATCTTGCACTATTACAGTAAGATTATTCCATGATTAAAAGTAGCCAAATCTAGTAATCATAAACTCTATTATTTGATCTCTTTTCCTAGAACATTTAAAAAACATTTTTAATTTACTTGAAAGTTGGAGTTATACAGAGAGAGAGGAGAGGCAGAGACAGAGGTCTTCCATCTGCTGGTTCAGTCCCCAATTGGCTGCAACGGCCAGAGCTGCACCCATCCGAAGCCAGGAGCCAGGAACTTCCTCCTGGTCTCCCACAAGTGTGTAGGGGCCCAAGGACTTGGACCATCTACTGCTTTCCTAGGCCATAGCAGAGAGCTGTATTGGAAGAGGAGCAGCTGGGACTAGAACTGGCGCCCATATGGGGTGCCAGCGCTTCAGGCTAGGGCGTTAGCCCACTGTGCCACAGCACCGGCCCCTTCCTAGAACATTTTAATATTACTTCTGACAATGATTATTCCCTTACCAAACAGTCTACAAACTAAGTTTTAAAAAATTGTTAAAGGATAATGAAAACTCTGCAAACCAAGTTGACTTTACAGAAAGTTCTGTGAGAACAAGTAAGATAAAATACTGAGCAAGGTTATCAATTAGTGCACCCGTGAAATTGTCCCAGTTTATTCATAATTCTGATAATATATTGAAGGAGTTTTGCTGTTGATCTTCTAGGTTTTACAAATAAAGCTTGAGTCCAAATTCTTTGTAACTGCTCGCTTCTGGTGGTGGCTTAATGTAAGATCAAACAGTCCCTTTTCAGATCTATTCCCCAGAATATGTTCTCTGCACCAGAGATCACACAAATCTCAAGTGAAAACATTGTTTCACTACTGTTTCCTAAGTACCTTTACACCCTATTTTATTTTTTCCTCAAGACTTTCTATTTTTAAGCGCACACATGGCTAGAACTCCTATCTTTTCAGAAACCAAGTAGGTTATCTTGTACAAAAGGAAGCTTTTAACAATTCTGACAATTTACTTTCAAGGAAAAATCATTTTTTAAGCTTCCATCTGTTTTCAGTTGATTAAAGAGAAACCAGCGATCCTATCATATTACTAAATATCACAAATGACAGTCGCTAGCTGAGAAAATATCTTCTCTTGGTTAATTTTTTTTTTGACAGGCAGAGTTAGACAGAGAGAGAGAGAGAGAGAAAGTTCTTCCTCTTCCCTTGGTTCACCCCCCAAATGGCCACTATGGCTGACGCGCTGTGTTGATCTGAAGCCAGGAGCCAGGTGCTTCCTCCTGGTCTCCCATGCAGGTGCAGGGTCCAAGCACTTGGGCCATCTTCCACTGCCCTCCCGGGCCACAGCAGAGAGCTGGACTGGAAGAGGAGCAGTTGGGACAGAATCCAGCACCTCAACTGGGACTAGAACCCCTGGGTGCCTGCGCCGCAGGCAAAGGATTAGCCAAGTGAGCCACTACGCCAGCCCTCTTGGTTAAGTTTTAACAATTAGGGTTCAGGTTACAACATAGATGATTAACTATTAATATTACTTTTTTTTTTACTTTTACAAATGTCAAACTGTTTTCCTTGGGGAAGGCAGTGGGAAGGAAGAGGCAAATGGAACAGAGGTACAACATGGTGGACAAGTGCATAAAGCTGTGCATTCAGGACATGATTTTGGTTGCTTTTTCACAATATGGTGGGTTTTTCTTGTATATCTTACTAAACCTATAATAAAAGACAGCTTTAAGCCTATAAATCAAAGTAAAGTCGATAAAACATTCATGTTCAAGTTTCAGAAGTATATGCAATTCTAATTATAAAGTCTCTACAATACATTTGCACATTTTCATAGACTAACCTAATAAGCAAACTTGTGGAAATCTCTAGTTAAGTAGTTAATTTTGCCTACATCTGACATTATCTTCAGAAATACTCAGTGAAACCACAAATAAAAGTACTGTAACTTTTGGAATTATCAAAGTTTTAGAGGAAAAAAAAAGGTCAGCAGCAACTCCGTGAAAGAGAAGGGACATCAGTCCCACTTCCTTTTGGTTTTCGTGTCAGCTGTTTGAAAAACACTGTAAGCTGACATGAGGTTTTCTATATACTGTCCAAGGACTTGGTTTTCTGATTTAAACTTCAGATTTTCTTCCTTAACTGCATCTACTCTTGCAGAGAGTGTGT